TATAGACATTCTTTCGAAGTTAAAAATAACTTTTACAGTGTTTTTTTGTTAGTGAAACATTACGTTCTCAACAAGTACTTTAAACTGTATAAATAAATTACCCGAGCAATTGGTTTACATCAGCCAATCAGACGAGTTAAACTCCGCATGATTGATGGAAGATCTCTTTTACGATGGTGACAGTATAAAAAACAGTGAGTCAAGCTCAATAGCAGTAAGCAGGTTAGTAAAACAACAAATGGTTTAATTCTTAAGTGTACTCTTTGAAAATAGATACCTTTGAATTATTGAAATAGAACAGTTAATAAACCGGTATAACCACAAGCCCGATTTAGTGGAATTTCCTTATCGTTTTTTAAGAAATTCCCGAGATGCCGGCCAAAAGATATGGGTCGTACGTAGTATATCATAAATTCTCTATATATCTAATATTAACAATCATGTCCTCTAAGTAAAATTTCATTCTGAAAACTTTTACTTAAAGGTCGAAAGTTAGTCATCATAGTAAATTTTAGTGTTATTTACGTTTTTTTACAATTTCTGATGTTTTTCGCGTTTGTCCTGTTACACTAGATCCTATGATTTTATCGGATCCGGATAGGATCGAAAGTGATCTTCAGCCCGACATAAGGGTATCGTAAATCAGGAGAGCAGGTAACGTTGTACAGTTTAGTTCCAATAGCTAACGTGGTAATGGGTATAATAATCTAATTACTATTAGGGGAAGGAATATTAGTAGGATTCTATGATTCGATGGTAGTTGATCGGAAGGGGGTGGTAGTTTAAGGGTAGTCGGGATTGATTTAATTAAGAGTGATTTTAATCTTAATTATATTTTTAAGAGTGATCTAATTAAATGGGCATAATAAATAATCAATTTTATCATTACGTGATTAAGTGTTCGGGTTAATATTTCTATAGGTCGTCCTGCGTAAGCGTAATACACTTTATAAAATATGTAACTACATAATATACGGCTCCTATTTATTCAGGAAAAGGTCTATTCAGCCTCAATGCTTACTTCCTTTTCGTTAGATAAGAGACCCAGCGTATACTTATATACAAGGATAATGTAGCGTAATAGGGGAACGATACTGAGTAGGCGAAGTTTAGATAAATTAATGTGGGAAAGTTTTAGAGACGGTATAGTATTTTATTTGTCTTTAAGACTTTATTCTTAATTTTATCCGTAACTGGTCCTTTTGGAAAGGCAAAAAGGACCTTTATTTATACAATTTGGTTTGTGAGATCTATACTAAGTAATTCTATATGATTAATTCGCTCCTATCTTTATGAACAGTTGTATACTCCTTCGTGAGTAGTTGCTTCGCCTGGGATTAGACAATCCTAAGGTAACACGAAGCCACACTGTTCAGATCATTAATATTTTAATAAATAACTATATACATGTATAACTGAAATAATAATAAAAAAACTATAATAATATAAATAAATAAATAAGTAAAAAGAAATAAAATAAGAAAACTCGTGACTTGGAAGGGTACTATATGATATAAATGTTTCAAAAATCACAAACAAAAACAGGTAAAAACAAGAATAATTTCATGTATGTATCATGGGTTAAAAACCACGATAATAAATAGAGAAATTTAACATTATAGTAATCTAGAATAATCCCTTGATAGAAAAAAAGCCTCATAAAGTATAAATATAGATGAAGTCATAAGATTAGATCAACCAAATCGGATGAAAAAGAGGCACTCCACTTAACTTGCTCGTAAACCATACTCTTCGTATTTCATGCTCCATTCCTGGTATATTATTGTCGCATAGTTGCGGAACAGCCCTTGTATTTGGTTCGAGGCATGTTAGCAGAGGAAGGGGTTACCAAAGCGAAGCGTGATAGTGAAATGTCACGGGATACACGTGATGTAGTCGGGGTTAATTGTGATGGAATGTAGGGGTCAGATCGGGATCGGGTTTATCAATATGGCGTAATTTTTATTAATATAGTATGACGAGATAATTAATGCAAATTAATTATCAATAATAGAGTCAGATGTTACCGATTTAATTAAAAGTCTAAAAATACTAAAAATAGCGATTGCATGAACAATGTAGTAATCGTTAGCGATTAGAAATAAACAATGTAATAATTAGCGATTAGTAATAACATTGATTGCATGAATTATGTAGTAATCAATAGCGAAAGAAATAATATATGAGGCATTAATCCGAATGGGGAAGTGCCTGATTTTTCGGCTCCTGCAATTCCATTTATAATTCTTAGTGAATTAACTGTGATCTGTACGAATACATTACAGGTGGTAGTATCTGGTACGATACTCCAGTCATCGCACATTAGCTAAGCGAGTGAAGATTATTAGAGAAGATCCACTAATTCACGGTAGTTTAGGTATCTACGTGACAATTATTATTTAGAGAACACTTTAATATTTGCATAAAATAATGATATAATGAATATGTAATCTCTTTAGTGTTATAATTCGATCGTACTATAATTAGCCGGAAGATCATGTGGACCCAAACTGGTACGTACACGTTTTAAGGGAGCAAAACCCTATGCAGTATACAAATATAGTAATACCCTGGCTCAACTCTCTCACATGATTTTTGTCAGGGGGAAATTTGCAACCAGTTAGTACGTTATTATCTCAGTAAATTAGTAAGAGAAATATCCCGATTTTTTATTATGTATAACTATATATCGGCAAAGTATTTTAATAACTTTTAAGCATAACCGGGATATTACCCTTTAATAATAACCTGGGTAGTTATTAAGATACATTAAAGTTTTTTACAATTTAAAAAAACTATTCCAACGACTTAGAAAAATCTTAAATTTACAATTAGTAAAGTTAACTATCAATATGAAAACCTCTGGGTGTTATTATTTTGAATTGTTTACGGAATAAATGAAGGAGTAAATGGAATCTTGATCGATTTCGGACGATTGAATTGATTCTGATTATTTTTGTATTTATTATCGATTCTGCTCATTTTGTGACCTATACATATTGTATGCCTCTATTGTGCAATGTTTGGTGATGCCCATTCCAGCCTAAATATCTACATCGGTGTCATTCAATTTTTGAGCTGTATGTTTGCGAAGAGAATGGTTTACAATCCTGCTACTAGCACAATTAATACCTGTAATGAAACAAGCTTCCTTCATAAAACTAGAAAACTTATCACGGCCTACATGACGGTTTAAAATCAGAAGTTTTTATAAAAGAACGGTTCATTTTTATTTTTATTTTTTGTATTAAAAGAGAAAGGGAAATTGAATTATATATTTGAATTCTCAAATTAATATCATTTCATATAAGCTTAAACGTACGAGCTAATGACGTATTTTTTCATGTGAAGGTCAGGGTATTATTACTTATATTTTAGTTGGCAAATTTCATAATTGATTTGTTAAGTACCCGGGTATTTTACATTCGCAAGTGCAATTAATCCGTCCTAGTATCTGGGGCACTTTATATTCTAGGCCTCCGAAAATCGTGAGGAGTATTATAAAAGGGGGTCTTTTAGTCTACGCTATACAGTGATTTGCGATTAAACATAAATGTAAAAAGCAGAGAATCAAGCATTCGATAGCAGTAAGTAGGTTAGTAAAGTGATAAATGGTTCAATTCTTAAGTGTACATTTGAAAAATACATATCTTTGAAGTATTGAACTTAGAATCGAATCTCACTAAACATAATAAATTACTTCCTAAGACATTTGGTTAGCAAGATAAGTATTGCTTTTATATTTTAAATTCTTATTTTTATTCTCTTATTACAACCGTTACTAATTTTTCAACTTATTCTTAGCTTTTATAAGGACTCTCAATAATTCGACGTATAGAACATATAGATAAGTATAACATTTATGATTTATATATGTAGTTGTTTTTTTTTGAAATATTTTAATTATCTTCTAATGTGGCCATGTGCCTGAGGTTGGTCAAAGAGCGTGAAGGTTTCCAGATATTTCCCCGATAACAACTTCCCGAAAATATTTTCTGACGATACTTTCCCGACATAAATTTTTTCACCGACATAACTTTTCCGACAATAATTTCCCGGCAACGTTTTTTCTTTTTCGACATAAACAGAATCCCGACATAAACTACTTCCCGACATTACCATTTTCTCGATATTATCAATACCCGACATTATTACTTCCACGACATATACATTTACGAGCTTCCCGGCATTTCCACATTTACGACATTACTGCTTGGTAGACATTTCCACTTTTCCGAAATTACCATTTCAACTGATTTGTTAAATGATTATTAATAGTGAAGTATTTTTCGATATTACATTGATCTAATTTGGCGAAATATCAAAATCAACAAAATTTAGCTATATTTCTGATCAACATAATCGTGTTAATCTTTACGTAAAAGAGACTATCTACTTGACCAGTCATATACTTTACGGTCCTCTTCGAGCACGGAATATATTATTATATATTATTAAGAAAATCCTTCGTGCCGTTTATTTTACACTCTTAAATTACAATTGAAATGATACTGTTATTTGCACTATCAGGAAATAAGAAGGCTAAATTGAATTAGGACAACGTTTCTTATGTGTCAAAGTGTTTATATCGACAAAGGGAACTCGATAATAGGTAACCTAACTTCATATTTATTATGTTCTAAAACCGTGCTGAACCGTTGCTTACTTCTTTCTTGCATTTTGTCATATATTCAAAAGAATACAAAGATTAAGTTAATGTAGACAAATTCTTAGCGAATTTAAAAATTGGACCAAGTTATAAGTTCGTAATAGATTAGAGTGGATGAAAGTTTGAACATGTAGATCCAACTCAACCGATAGCAATAGGTTGAATGAGTTTTCCTAATGGTGCCATAATTATAACAACTTGAATGAATAATCGTTCGTTGACATTTTGGTACATTTCAAAGATGACGAGTCTTCCAAAATAATACCATTATTTGCTGTGTGTACTCACATGAAAAAGTCCAAGAAATTAGGCACAGACATCGCTGGAAGGAATGGCTAAGACTCTTGAGATGGATAAATTTCAAAATTGTAATTACTTTATTACATCAATTGATGCAATTTTGCAAAAGCTTAAGGATTTTAACAAACCTCCTCGTAGGGATACGATACAATTTATACTACAAAAAATTTGGAAATGTATGGAAGGAATTAAGCTATTATTATTTGTTGTGAACCTTAATTAATTATAGAAAACTTCTTTGGCGTTTTAGAAATGATTTAAACATAATTAAGATACTCTGCGGCACTCTATAATTACTTCCAAATATTGAAGAACTGTTTCATTGAAATGCATAGGCGTTTGGAAAATCTTTCAGACGATTTTAAAACGTCGGGAAGGTGATAATGTCGGAAAGCTGCAATTTCTGGAAAATGTAATTGTCGAGAAAGTGGAAATGTTAGGATGTAATAATGTCAGGGAAATAATAATGTCGGGGAAGTAGTTTTGTCGGAATTATTATTGCTGGAAATATATTGTCGGGGAAGTGGTTTATGTTGGGAAATTATTGTCGGGAAAGTTATGTCGATGAATAAATTTAATTTTGGAAAGTGTTATCGAGAAATATTTTTCAGGGAATTTAGTGCCAGAGAAATGACGGAAAACCAAAATTTCTATCTATAGGCCCACAATCGAATTTCGCTAAACGTTAATCGATGAGATAATCAATTATTTCCTGAGATGTGTAATTTGGAAAGCAAGACAAGTATCGCTTTTATTTTCGATTCTTGTTTTTATTACGACCTTTACTAATTTCTCAACTTATTCTAGGTTTTTACAAGGGCACCCTATAATTCGGCTGATAGAACATATATAAGTATAAACTTTATAATTTATATATATTTGTATTTTTATTTTAATTGTCTTCTGCGATAGCCATGAACGTGAGCATGCGTGCCGTTTTTACATTTATTATTTAGGTCATAAGACTATTTCGTACGAATGATTTAATTTAATTTTTGTGGACTTTTCGCAGGTTAGGATTTATAATTAGCAACACATTAAAATTTTTATCCATAGGCCCAGAAATGAATCTCATTAAACGTTAAATTTTATAGATTATTAATTACATCCTGAGACATGTAATTTAGTTAACCAGATAAGTATCGCTTTTATATTTTAAATACTTGTCTTTATTCCTTTACTACAAAATTTACTGATTTCTTAACTTATTTTAGGTTTTACAAGGGCTCCAAATAGTTTGACAGATAGAACATGATTGTTGCTAAAAGAAAACCCGACAATTTAAATATGACTTATATTTAAATGTTCGGGTTTTTCATTTAGCGACACTCATATAGATAAATATAAAATTTATAAAATTAAAATATATATTTGGTTTTTTTTTGAAATATTTTAATTGTCTTCTAGAAGGTCGTGAGTTTGCAGGCCGGTCAAAAGAACGTGAACATGCGTGCCGTTTTTTATATTTCTATATTTATTATTTAAGTCATAAGACCATTTACGCGCGAATGGTTTGATTTAATTTTGCGGACGGATAACCAGTATTAACTACTGAATTTTAGACTTATCATGGGTTAAAATTTATAACTAACAACACATAAAATTCCTATTTATAGGCCCATCGTTAAACGTCAAATGATATAGATAATTAATTACTTTCAAAGTAAGGTTTCTGGTGCAGATATAATTTTAATAATGCGCCGTTAAATTTTTATAGTACTTGTTAATAGTGCACCACTTGCACCAACAACTTTATTTCTGAGGCATGTAATTTGTAGGCAAGATAAGTATCGCTTCTTATATTTTAAGTACTTGTTTCAATTTCCTTATTACAACCTTTACTAATTCTCAACTTATTCTGGTTCTTTACAAGGACTCCTTATAATTCGACGGATAGAACATATAGATAAGTATGGGCTATTGGAACGTATTCTGTAGGACGTGAAGATAATGAAATCGAAGTTATTTTGTATGTACCATGTCATCATGTAGATCGAGACCTCGAATCACAAGCCATTTTTAAAAGAGATGAATACTATTCTGTCAGTGGAAAAATCGTATCCAATTATTATTCTGGAAACATCGGACCAAAGGTGGCAATAAATATAGAAATTTGATCTTTTCGCATCTTTTTTTATATTTCCACACCCTAATTCTACTTAGATACATGTTTTTATAATAATGTAATGATTTTTACAAGAGTTAAAGTGTGAAAATAACATTCCCTAAATATATTTAATAATTATTCATAATTGTATCACAAAATTATAAAATTATTAGTAACAATACTACATATAATAGTAACCAATCTTAATATATATATTGTGAGAGGCAAAACATGACCTAGCTGTAGGCATGTGAGAAACGTATCTATGATCTGAACCATTTGAAAATCATATTTAATATCAATCATTTGAAAAATCATGTTTTACAATTTATAAAATAAGTAAAGATGAAAATAATTTGAGGGTTATAAGTCTGAAAATTCTGTGACTGTACCATTGATTATTAGTTACACTGATGCTTTTGGGAAATAATTGTGTTAAAAGATGATTATATTGGAAAATGATTTGTCAGGGAGATGATTGTTTCTAAAAAATAACTTGTCAGTAAAATGATTATGTAAAAAAAATGGTTATGTCAGAAAAATGGTTATATCAAGAAAATGATTATGTTAGAGAAATAATTTGTCAAAGTAATGATAATGTCAAGAAAATAATTGTGTCAGATAAATGATTATGTGAAAAAAGTAACTGTTAAGGAAATAAATATTGAGAAAAAGATTGTGTTGGGAAAATGATTTGTCAGAAATATGATTGTCAGAAAAATTAATATTAGGAAAATGATAGGAATTCAAAAGATTCAATATTAATTATTTTAGGTCTAAGCTAAAGGTCTTTAGTGAATTTTTGATAATCAATAGAATGGTAGTTATTGGATAAAAAAAGATGAAGACATATGAGATTGAGACAGAGTTGAAGACAATTATGAGTTGTATATAGAGGAATAGTAACTAGTAAAGCAAAGATTTTGAAATAGTTAAGTTTGGTAAAGAAGATAGTTGTAAATTTAAGAATGAGGTTTTTGAAGATAGATTTAAGAAGATCAAAAAAAAATAGTAGTATTTTTGTCAATATTAGAATTGTTGTTATAAATAAGATCAGTTAAAAATTTAGACCATTGCCTAGCTATAATATGGATAATATAGTAGAATAAAACTTTGAGTACCAGTTGAGTAGTAGTAGTTGGTTTAATTTCTTTATCAGAATAAAAATCATAAAGAAATTTTTTAAGGAATATAAAGAGTTGAAAAGAGGATAAAGTTTGCAGTTTTTTGTTAGATTATATTTTTTTTAGTAATTAAAAAATTTGTAACCTAGTTGTATATAGAATTAAATTTTGGTTTGAGAATATTAGAATAAGATTAAAGAAAAGATTTGTTAGAAGTATTTTCAAGTTAATTAGTATTGCTAAAATTGTTAAAATTTAGATTAGAGATATTAAGAGTATTAGTAGTAAAAAGTTGATTAGAGCTAGAATTAGTATTAGTAGTTATAAAAAAGAAATAATTAATAAGATCAAAAGAAGCTAAGTTTTGGTAAGAGGTGGCAGTAAGAGGATTGGTAGTTTAAAAAAATTTATATAAGTATTTTGAAAGATTTGAGTGAGATTTTTCTTAGTTTGAAATAAACTAGCTTTATATTAAGATAAGACAGTTATACAAATAAGATAATAAATTTCATTATTTTAGAAATATATTTTTCAATAAAGTAATGATACTTATTTCTCTTAGTACAACTAATTGGAAGAGAGCATTTAGGACAAATGTGGTAATATATATCTGGTATAGAAGGTAAAGAAATATTGTCAATAGAAGAAGAGAAATTAATTATGAATTGTTAGATTATTTTGTTAATTTTTTTATAATTTTTATTAATATAAGCAGTTGTGAATTTAGTAACTTGAATGTAATTAGTATTTGAGATTAAGATAAATTTGGTATAGTATTTGATACAAAGATAAGTAATTACAAAAAAAGAAATAAAAATTTAAAATAAATAAGTAAACTTGTTTGATCTAAGATTTTTTATTAAACAAGTAATAGGTTAAACTTTGAGAGAAATTGGGTAAGCCTTGTTATTGTTTTCTTCTTTATAGAAAGTAATTTCAAAACTATTAGAAAAGTTTTAGTAAAAATAATCAAAGTTTGCTTTTTGTTAACTTAAAGTAGAAATTGTTAAATAATAATAAGTTAAATAAAAATTTTATTAAAGACTTAGAAATTTTTCTAAGTTAATGTAATTATTAATGAATTAATTAGTACAGCTAAGTTAATAATAAAACATAACTTAATATATAAATATCTAAATAATATAAGGTACAAATAATAGAAACAGTCTATTTTTACATTTTTTGAAAATTTGTTTTTTTTAATTTTCTAATAGATATACTTAATAAAAAGATTTTTATTATAAGTCATATAATCAAATTATATAATAAAAAAATCTGTCATATACAAAAACTAAAAAAAATAGATAAATCTAAAAATAGAAAATTAGAATTTCCAAATTGATAAGAATATTTTGGAAATGATCTTTAAAATTTCTATAATAATAATAATGCAGTAATAAAATTAACTTTAATCCATTTTAACTAATTTTAATTTTCTTAATTACCTTTAACTACTTTAATCTATTTTAATTAACTTTAACTATCTTAATTATCTTTAACTACCTTTAATCTATTTTAACTAACTTTAACTACCATATTAAATTTTTATTTATAATCAATTTTTTTTAATTAAGTTTAAACTTAAAAGACTTTAGTCTTTTAACTAATTAAAAAAAAAATTACTTTAATATTAAATTCAAGTAGATTGAGTTTAGAAATAAGTAACAACAGCCTTTCATAAGTTTACTGAACTTGGTTAAGAAGCTACTAACTACTGCATTTTATAGAACTAGTGTTGTAAATTAATTTTATAGATATAATAAAGAATTGGTTTAGTTATAATGATTATGCATAGGATAGAGATACACAACAGATTTGTAATTATAATTAAGTTTTTAAGTAGCTTTGGTCCAAAAGCTATTACTTCTAGCAAAGTTTTCTTAAGTTTTAGTAAGTTGGATTCAAAGCTACCAAAGTGAAGCTTTTTTTTGATTCTAATTAAAAAACTGCTAGTATTTTTGTTATTGAAGTAAATGTATTGTAAATAATCTTTACAGATATAACAGAATAATAGGTTGGACATAATGGTTATACATAAGGCAAGGGTGTATAACAAATTTGTAAAAATAATTTAGTTTTTTTAAGTAGATTAGTTCAAAACTATTTTTAATAAAATATTTATTTTTAATTTTAATAGATTGAGTTCAAAAGTTATTAGTAAAGTTTTCTTAATTTCTGTAGGTAGATTTAAAACTACCAAAGTGAAGTTTTTTTTTCTAGCTTTAATTAAAAAATTGTTTGTATTTTTGTTATTGCAATAAATATATTGTGAATAATCTCTATAGACATAATAGAGTAATAGGTTGTTTACAGTAATTATATGTAAAATAAAAATGCATAACAAATTTGTGAAGGTAATTCAAAATTTTTTTAAGTAGATTTGGTTTAAAACTACTACTAATTAAGTTTTTTTTTAATTTTAATAGATTGAGTTCAAAAGCTACTAGTGAAGTCTCCTTAAGTTTTAGTAAGTTGGATTCAAAACTACCAAAGTGAGGTTTTTTTTTGACTTTATTAAAAAACTGCTAGTATTTTTTGCCATTAATAAATATGTTATGAATGATATTTATAAATGTAATAAAATAATAGGTTGGTTATAACAGTTATATTCAAGGTAGGGGCACATGATAGCTTTGTAAAATAATTTGTTTTTTTAAAATTGGATTTGGTTTAAAACTACTACTAATGAAGATTTTTTTAATATTAATAGATTGAGTTCAAAGCTACTATTGAAGTATTCATAAGTTTCAGTATATTGAATTCAAAACTACCAAAGTAAAGTTTTTTTTAATTCTAATTAAAAAACTACTATTATTTTTTGCTATTGGCTTGAATATGTGTTGTGAATAATCTTTATAGATATAATAAGATAATAGGTTAGTTATGACAGTTATATATAAGTAGAATGCATGCCAGCTTTGTAAAATAATTCATTTTTTTTAAAATTGAGTTCAAAACTATCACTAATGAAGTTTTTTTTTTTAATATTAATGGATTGAATTCAAAAACTACTAGTAAAGTATTCTTAAGTTTCAGAAGATTGGATTTAAAACTACCAAATGAAAACTTTTTTTTTGGCTTTATTAAAAAGCTGCTAGTATTTTTTGTTATTAGTAAATGTGTTGTAAATGATCTCTATAAACATAATGAAATAATAGGTTAGTTATGACAGTTATGCACAGAGTAAAAGCACATGACAGCTTTGTAAAAATAATTCAGTTTTTTTTTAAATTGAATTTGGTTTAAAACTACTACTAATAATGTTTTTTTTTTAATATTAATTGATTGAGTTCAAAAGCTACTATTTAAGTTTCTATGAGTTTGGTTCAAAACTACCAAAATGAAGTTTTTTTTTGATTCTATTAAAAAACTGTTAATATTTTTTGTTTTTGAAGTAAATGTGTTGTGAATGATCTTTATAGATGTTACAGGATAATAGATTGGTTATAACAGTTATGTATAAGATAGGGGTGCATGACAGCTTTGTGAAAATAATTTAATTTTTTTAAATTGAATTTGGTTTAAAATTACCACTAATGAAGTTTTTTTAATAATATTAATAGATTGAGTTCAAAAGCTACTAGTGAAGTATTCTTAAGTTTTAGTAAATTGGGTTCAAAACTACCAAAATAAGATATTTTTTTTGACTTTATTAAAAAACTGCTATTATTTTTTGCTATTAATGAATATGTTGTGAATGATCTTTATGGATATAACAGTTAATAGGTTGGTTACAACAATTATGCATGAGGTAAGAATGCATAACAGCTTTGTGAAAATAATTTTTTTTTTTAAACTAGATTTGGTTCAAACTACTACTAATGAAGTTTTTTTTTTAATATTAATGGATTGAGTTCAAAAGCTACTATCAAATTATTTATAAGTTTCAGTTAGTTGAGTTTAAAACTACCAAATTGAAGTTTTTTTTTTTTGATTCTAATTAAAAAACTGCTATTATTTTTTGTTGCTAAAATAAATATATTGTGAATAATCACTATAGATATAACAAGATAATAGGTTGATTATGACAGTTATGTGCAAAGTAGAGGTGCATAACAGCTTTGTGAATATAATTCTTTTTTTAAAAAAACTGGATTTGGTTCAAACTATCACTAATGAAGTTATTTTTTAATCTTAATGAATTAAGTTTAAAAGCTACTATTAAAGTATTTTTAAGTTTTAGTAGATTGGGTTCAAAACTACCAAAATGAAGTTTTTTTTTATTCTAATTAAAAAACTGCTATTATTTTTTGTTGTTAAAGTGAATGTGTTGTGAATGATCTCTATAGATATAACAGAATAATAG